GCCGAGCCCGGTGCGAGGGGGCCGCCCCCGCGCCCAGCCCCGCTGCCGGGGGGCTGGGGACCCCGAGCCCCCCGAGCCGCACCAAGCCCCCCCGTGACGTACCTCTCTTTGTGCAGCAGCGCCAGCCGCTCCTTAGGCACCTTGAGGCGCTGGGACAGCCGCCGCTTCAGCCCCTCCACCGTCTCTTCGGCAGGCACCGAGAGCTCATAGCGGGTGCCGGTGGTGGTGTGGATGTAGAGGTTCATGGGGGGCTCGGGCGGCCCCACCTCGCAGGCGGGAGCCCCGCGGCTGCAGCTCCTGGCGCCGGGCTGCGGGTCCATCCGCCGACCTGCGGGGGCAGCGGCGGTCGGTGCCGGGGGGCGACGGCGGGACGCGGCGGGGGGGGTGCGGGATCGGACAAAGGAGAGAAGCGGGGCCCGCTCCGCCGCACGCCCGGCGGGACCCAAGGGAGCTCCGGCTGCGCGGCGAGGCCTCGGGCGGGGGCCGGGAGGAGGCGGGGGGCGGCTGTGGGGATGTTGGGGAGGGGTCCCCAAGCAGGGCTGCACCGGCTGGGCCCTCCGCGGCCCGGGCGGAGAAAATAAAATATATATATATATGTACAAAAATAAAAAATATAAAATCCCCCGTGCTCGCCCCGCTCCGGTGGCTGCCGCGGGAGGGGGGCGGTAGAAGCGGCGCTGCCTGTCCCTGCCTGCCGCCTGCCCCTGCTCTGCCGCCTCCTTTCTTTCTCCTCGCCGCCGCTCTGTGCTCTCGGAGCGGGGTGTCTGGGGGCGGGGTGAGGCCCGAGGCCGCGGCGAGGGGCGGGGAGGCCGCCTCGCTCCCCCCTCGGTGGGGCCGGACCCGCCGAACCGGCCGCCGCTCGCGCTGCCGTGGGAGCACCGGGGGGGAGGGAAGTTACAATGTAGCAACGTCCCGGGGGGCGGGGCCTCGCCCTCATTCACTCCGGCTCCTCCGGCGGCCGCGGCCAATGGCGGCGCGCCGGGCGCCCAGACATCCGCGGTGGCGGCCAATGGGGGGCGGGGGCAGGCTCCCCACGTGGCCCCGGCGGGCGGAGCGGCCCGGCCGGATTCCTCCCGCCCACGCGGCCGCGCGGCCCCGCCCCCGGCCCCTCCCCCCGCGCGCCCTCGCGCCGCGCCTGGAGCCATTCATAATCCCGGTGCACAACAAAGGGGCGCGGGCCGGGAGCGGGGGGTCCGGCCGGGTACCCCATCCCCGCGGGGGCCAACGGGCTTGGCGTGCGAGGCCCGGGAGCCGCGGAGGGGTGAACGCGGGACGCGGGCAGGCGGCGGCCCCGAAGCGCCGCGGCGGGGGCGGTGAGCGGCCCCCGCACCGGAGGAGGCCGCGGCGGGAGGTGACTGCCCGCGGGGCCGGGCGGGAGCCGGAGCCTCGGGAGCCGAGTGACGCGGGGACACAGAGGCGGAAAGGGCGGGGGGGACCCGCACACTCACCCGCGGCCGGTCACACCCGCCCGGTCACCTTCCCAGGGACGCCGTTACAGCTACGGTGAACCGTCCCGACAGGGGGCTGAGCTCCCCTGGGGCCCCCAGCACGCTTCTACCTCCACGATCCCCAGTCCCGCAGCGGGGACCTCCACCCCAGCGGCCCCAGCCCCGGCTGCCCCCGCCCGGGGGGGCGGAACGGACACCCCGGGGCCCCGGCCCGGCATCCGCACCGGGGGGGCCCGGGGGGGCTATGAGTCAGCAAAGCGCGGGCGCCCCCTGCCGGCCCCGCCGCGCCTCCTGCGCCCGGGGGGGCCGCACCGGCGGCCGGGGAGCACTTACCGAGCCGCCGGGTGGCCCTTAGTGAGCGACCGGGAGGCCCTGCCGCGGTGCCCCCCGGGGCCGCCGCCCGCCCGCCAGGACGGATCGAACCGGCCTGGGCACCGTCCCCCGGTTCGCCGCTCCCCGGGACGCGGCGGGGGTCGAGAGGGGCGCACCGAGGTGCCAGAAGCCGGAGCGAGGGGAACCGACCCAACTCCCGTTCCCCGAGGGCAGA